ATCCATACCTGTCACAAGCAGGAAACCACAGGTCAGTGTATTGGGCCCGTTGTTGTTTGTTTGTTTCATAAATGACATGCCTGATGTTGTACACTCCTCCATACAAAGGTTTGCCGATGACGCCAAGTTATTTCGGGAAATGAAGAACCAAGCGGACTGTGAAGAGCTACAGAAGGATCTCTTTGGGCTCCAAGAATGGTCGAAGAAATGGCTGCTGAGATTCAATGTCACGAAGTGTACGAGGATGCACCTGGGGCATACCAACGGTAAGGAGGCGTATCATATGTCCCAACGGGATGAAGAAACTGCACTATTTGAGACTGAATGTGAGGACCCAGGTGTGTATGTTGACAATGAGCTGAAGTTCTCGGGCCATTGCGAGAAGGTAAATCAGGCAAATAAATTATTGGGTCTTATAAGAAGGTCGTCCAGATATCTAGATGGTCCGTCCGTCGTAACGATCTTCAAGAATGAAGTGCTTCCCCATCTGGAGTACTGTCACCCCGTCTGGTCCCCGAGATATGCTAGGGACTGTCGGTTGGTTGAAAATATTTAAAGGAGGGCCACCAGACTGGTGCCTGCACTTCGGGACCTCAGCTACCCTGAGAGATTGAAGCGCCTGAACTTGCCTAGCTTATACTACAGACGGACAAGGGGTGACCTAATAGAGGTGTATAAGCATCTCAAGGGGCACTACTCAGTTGAGTGTCCTTACTTGGAGCTGGCGGACGCTCGCCCCACAAGGGGTCACAGCTCAAGATTGAAGAAGCCACAAGTCCAGAAAACTGTGAGGGCAAACTTTTTCGGAGTGAGAGTTGTGAACTCTTGGGACAATCTACCAGAAAGTGTTGTGACGGCACCGAGTGTGATCTCTTTCAAGACGAGACTTGACCAACACTGGAGCGGATTCAGGTACATTCAGGAGCCGGTGCATGCCCAGTACTTACCAACAGTGTGTAACAGAGATGTGACCGATCGTCCAAGCTGCTAACGAGCTGATCTTTTGGTGAAGAGGATAAAAGAAAAGTAATTAATTTTTCATTATTGATTACTTTTACTGTACTGTATTTAATTTTAGAATTTCTATGTATTATTTTCGCCTTTTCAACTTACGACCTGGTCGTCGGGACGGAACCCCGTCGTAAGTTGAGAAGAGACTGTATACTGTATAATAAATAGTAATGGTTCAAGTACTGAGCCTTGGGGTACTCCACTAGTGACACCCCAATTGGATTTAATGCCGTTAAAGCTTGCTCACTGTTTTATGTACTGTAACCACGCCCTAATCCACTTTAGACTATCTCCTCCAATTCCATGAGCCTCCACTTTACGTATTAGTTTTTCGTGGGGGACTATGTCGAAGGCTTTGCTAAAGTCGAGGTATACTACATTATAATCATGTCCGTCGTCCACTGACTCAAAAACAGTTGAAAAGAATGTTAAAAGATTAGTCAGACATGAACGCCCACTTGTGAAGCCATGCTGGGAATCAGTGATTAATTTGTGCTTCGGGTGATTTCGAATTGAGTTTCAAATTATTGCTTCCATCAATTTGCCTACAATAGATGTTAAACTGATTGGAGGATAGTAATCTATCTCCCTTCTTGAAAATCTGTATCACATTATTTATCCACCAGGATTCTGGTACTACACCCGTTTTTAATGACATGTTAAACTAGTCTGCCAAGGGCGTACTAATACTGTTGTACTGTGCACATCATAGTCATTCCTAAAAACTCCCTCTAATTCATATTATGCTACATAACATTCAAATCCACAGCGCTTGTAGAATCTCAGAAAACGGGAAACATTGATAAAAGCTAACTCTCCTTCTCAATGTTACTGAATCATGTGTTGAATTGTACCCAGGTACGGTTATATAATATTAATTGTATGTATTCATAGCATTAAGGAGAACTCAAGGTATCTATAAGAGGATTGGGAAAGTCCAGTTGATCCGGACTAGTGTGCTTTAGGACTAAGTGTAGATCGTGGGTTGAAGGTCATACTATTTACGTCTGTTAACGTTTAGCGAACATAACTTCCGCAGATATCATCTGAAAATACATGAGAACAATGATCTGGAAAAAGGATAGATGTATCAGAACTATGTGAAGTGCTGGAAGTGACCCAGAAACTATACTTGAAAGGAAATATCTTGTATGCATCGGTGTGAACTTAATACACCTCATATCCTCGGGTGACGTATACCCACGACATGTACAGTGATCAGAGAATTTTATGTCTGTGTTCAAATAGTGCAATGTGTGAGAGGAGGATCCCTAATTACAATTTTAAGTGAAGTGGATATACCCACGCTATGAACTTTCAGCTTTTGTTTCAGGGCAGCGTCCCTTGTACCCAGACTCCAGGTGTGAGTTAATGATATAGCCCAATTAATTTCCCCAGGAACAGTCAAACCCGAACCGTATTCTAGTATGTAATTTAGGAATAAAATATGTATTTATAAGACATGAGGTTACAATATACAGGAAAGTGTTCAAGTGAGAACCATAAGAAATCAAAGTGAAAATTAAAGATTGGAAACTGTAGGCCTATGTCGGTGAGAGGAGCGGGGGACATCGGCCTTCATACGTAACTGCTCCTTCCCCAACATAGGTCAGTGAACTTCATCGGACTGTATTCAGCCCTAAAACAAGACTTATATAACAGTTATTACGGCTTAAAACTTTGCCTGATGTATAAAGTGAAATAGTAATGTGTTAGGGTGTGTGATAACGGCCCATCAGGCATTATTTCTTATACGTGCCTGCTCCTTCCACAACATAGGTTCCCCGCGCGCTCTGAACTCACCAGAACGGGGACCATTATCCCTGTGAGCGTCCCACCATGTGAAATGACTACTCCCAGCTATGCTACTCCACTGTGAACCTGTGGATTCCAGCATACCACCACAAATGAGTAGGAATACATAATGAGATCTTTGAGAAACTCCGCGGTCGTCACTTCGAGCGACCTATAATACCAGGCGTAGAAACAATACTGATATGTCTCTTGATGAAGCCCTCGTCTCTACCCACCGAGGGCGGTGTGCGAACGAGGTGCCTGATATGTGTACCTAGAAATTACAAGGAGTCCCATACTTGCAGGTGTGGAGTGTAACAGGTGTGTTGAGCTGGTGCTACAGGGAGGTGAGATGGTGTTACGATGCATAATAACCTAAGGTGCCATATTCCATACAGGTGGAGCAGTCTGACGTGTTGAGTTTTATTATAAGAAGGAATGACCGAGGTAAGGAGGTCACTCATTGTTATGCAATAAGTATGTGGATGACACGCAATTAATGTAAGACGTCTGTTGTCGAGCAGGGTAACCAAAATCATCGTTTTTCTTCTGAGGAAGGCCAACTCACTTGTATTTTAACGGAATGCAGTATGTTTTATAAGGAATAAACTAGTTATGACATGTTATGGTTTCACCCTTCTTTCCCCTTATCGATCTGGTCAATGAAAAACCTAACCCAATGCCTAGTCCACTCTGCCCGCTACCTAACGAGTTACTGCCCAGAGCGGGTCTGGTGGCAGCAACCCTTAGAAATTAAGAATAGAGTTAAGTTATCCCCTTAGACTTAGTGACCCCAGAATCTGTCAGTATACGGTACTCTGGCAAATATCTCATCGGGACCTGGTGACTTATTAGGTTTTAGTTTATCTCTTTGTTTACTAACATCATAACCAGTCACAAATTTCTTGCATTTCCTTGTAAATGTTAGGATACATAATGGGGTCAAACATACTGTAGATAATGTTTCAGCAGCAGTTGCTGGGAGAGGTTCACCTATAAAGACCATTTGACTGCATTTCTCATCCCAAAGTCAAAGCTCAGTTAGTATTTCTTTATATATTTTGCCTGAATGAATTTTTCCAACCAGACAGTTTTTTCACCATCTCAGGAAAGGCTGCTCACCCCTGAACTACATCCTCTTGGCCATCTTTAAAGTGGCTTTCAAGCCTGGCTCAAGTGGTCCAAAAATGATATTGTCATGTTGATTTTGTAGTAGACCTCTGGATTGGTAGATGGTGCATTAGCCCTGTTCTTCTGGTGACCACAGATCTTGGGAGTGTCTACTGACACACTGAGACTGGTAGCATGGTCAACTGCCTTACTGTAAATCTGCTTGTTGGTGTCCTCCACATTTCCTTTACAGCACCAGCTACAATCTGCACATCCTGATGGGCTGTCACGATGTCCATTGCTTTGGCTTGGAGCTTAGTTGTCAACCCTCGAAACCAGGGGTCCACAACCTCTATACACTAGTCAACCACTTAATGGTACAAGTAATCAGTGATCGGCCGCAGGTGTACTAAGCCAACATAAGTCAGCACTGTGTTCCACAGAACTGAATGTAAAATTTTAATGCAGGAATATATTTTATTGTCAGAGAATTGTTATAAACAACACTGATATTTAACACTAAACAAAGCTTTCGTTTTCACCATATACAGTACATATGCTGAATTGAAATACTGTAATATCACTAGTCACTAGCCTAGTCAAATATTCTGTAAAGAAATTAGGGAAACATTACTTTTAGCGATATAAAATATGGAAATATGAAACTGTCTTTGAGCAGTACAAAATAATGGTTTAATAACCGATTCTCACCTGAAATACAAGCATACAGGGGAAATTGTTTTATAATTGTCATCCTACAGTACACAGTACAGTAACCCCCCCCCCCCTCCCCACCAAAAAAGGATTTGTTATTGTAGCGACTGAAGAATAATATAATGTATTTATGTAATGTAATATAGTTAACAAATGCCTATAATTGTTGTAAATAACCATTTTGATCATGCAACTGTTGTTGAGTCAGGTGGCTGAACTTGGTTCGAGACTTGAGCCGAGATAGCTTCTTTCAGTTAGCCGGTATATATACTGGTGGGCGGCATCGAAACGGCCACTCACTCTCGCTCCGTGTTAGAGCACAGTTCTCGTAGCCACACCAATAAACTGGTAAATGTTACATGTCCTGTTACATGTCAATACCAGGCACATCCGGTGCTGCTCCAGCTGCCGACGACGCTGCTGTGCTGTCTACTGTCGCCCGTCCTGCCTTCATTGGCTCTGACCTGGAGCTTTGGCTACTGCAGCTCAGCAGCTACTTCATGGCATGCCGAATAACTGCATCTGCCATGAAGTACCACCGTGCCATGTCGAAGCTACCACCTACTGTCAACATGGAAGTGCGCGACATCCTCACGGCACCCCCGGCGGAGACGCCTTTCCAGAAATTGTGTTTGGCATTACGGGCGCGGCTGGGCACATCGTCTCGACAGCGTATGCAGCAGTTGTTATGGGGCGAATTCCTTAACGACCGCAAACCTTCCCAGCTCCTGCGAAGCCTCCGCCACTTGCTCTCCACCACAGGCACCACATCGGAAGACCTCATTTTCCGTCCGTTGTTCCTACAGCGTTTGCCATCCAACGTTCAGGCAGGACTATCCACGTTTTGAGAGAACACCTCATTGGACATCATGGCGGAGTCTGCCGACTGCTTCATGGAAGCGTCTAGTTCTATGACCGTCAGCGTCTCGTCCGTGACACCAGCACCACAAACCTCTCCTTCCTTGGCACCAGACCATTTGTTGTCGTCTCCACAGCCCGAGGAAAACCAGCAGCCGGCCACGTGCCCTTAATTCTGTCCAGATAGCATTACGGCCTCCCTGTGAATGTCAACACCGCCCAGACAGCCACTGTGGAAATTCAAGGCAGCGTCACCAGCAGTCAAGCCGATCGCCCTCGCCTGCAGACCGCAGATCGTCAGGACAGTCCAACAATCTGTGCTTCTACCATCGACGCTTTGGTGACCGGGCCCTCCGTTGCCAAATGCCCTGCTCTTGGTCGGGAAATGAGTCGTCCCGGTCATAAGCGTGGCAACCATCCGGGAGCCAGAACCTGGCCACCTCTTCAACCCCTCACAGATCACTGTACAGGTATATGCTTCTTGATCGACACTGGAGTGCAGTTCAGTGTCCTGCCGAAGCCCATCTGCCAAGCAACACCCACATCAACCACCAAGCTATTGGCGGCAAATGATACCTGCATCAACACCCATGACTCCAAGTCGGTCAGGCTGGATCTCAACCTTGGCCGACGTTACATGTGGAAGTTCTTAGTAGCTGATGTCAGCTTTCCTGCAGCATTACTGTTCCTCAATCGACTTGCAACACCAAAAGATCTGTGTTCCAACCACCCAGTGCTGAGTCAGCGGGCAGCCAACCACCATTGCATCTATGGGATTCACAGCCAACTACCCAGAAAATTTCCCTGATATCAAGCTATTGGAAGAATTTCCGTCTCTGACACATTACAGTGACAGCCCTCTGCCACTCAAACATGAAGTGATACCACCATATTGAGATCAAAGGCCCGCCAGTCTTCTCCCGCTTTCGGCGCCTAGCACCAGACAGACTCCACATAGCAAGGAGGGAGTTCAATCAGATGCTCAGCCTGGGCATAATCCGCCCATCAAAGAGCACCTGGTCATCGGCGCTGCACATGGTGCCCAAAAAGCAGCTCGGAAGCTGGCGCCCCTGTGGTGATTACCACACACTCAATGCGGTGACAGTCCCTGACCGCTATTCATTACCACATATCCATGACTTTGCCGCCAATCTCGCTGGAGCTCCCATCTTCTCAAAGATAGACTTCATGAGGGCGTACAACCAGATACCCGTCAACCCAGCTGATGTTTGTAAAACTGCTGTAACTACTCCTTTCGGCCTGTATGAGTTCGTCAGGCTTCCATTCGGCCTGAGGAACGCCAGCCAGACATTCCAGCATTTTATCAATAACGTGCTGAGAGAACTGCCACTCGTCTTCTCTTACGTTGATGACTGCCTCGTGGCCAGCCATTCTGAGGAAGAGCGTTTGTAGCATCTTCGCCAGATCTTCGACCGCTTCAGACAGTATGGGATCATCATCGACAAAGAAAAGTGTCAGTTTGGCATCCCCGAGCTCTCGTTCCTGGGATACCACATCTTGCAGCACGGAACAAAACCCCTGCACGATAAGATCGAAGCCATCATCGCTTTCCCACTGCCTCAAACACAGAAGCAGCTCAGACGGTTCCTGGGACTCGTGGCATATTACCACCGTTTTGTCCCTCGCTGTGTTGTCTTACTTCGCCCACTCTGTGCTCTTGTACTGAAGAAAGACAAGACCATAATGAGAGCCGTGTTCTGGACGACAGAGGCAACACAAGCTTTCGAAGAGGTGAAGAAAGCCTTGGTCAATGCTACACTACTGAGCCACCCTCACTCTGGTGCACCTCTCAGCCTAATAGTGGACGCCTCTGATACAGGCGTCGGAGCCGTGATTCACCAGCACATTTATGGCCGCTCCAAACCACTGGCCTTCTACTCAAAAAGCCTGCAGCCACAGGACACACGCTACTCTACATTTGGTTGTGAGCTGCTCGCTGCATACCTGGCTGTAAAGCACTTCCACTGCTTCCTGGAGGGGCGCGATTTCTGCCTCTACACCGACCACAAGCCCCTTGTGTCGGCTGCCATTAACGCCTCGGGTCTGCACTCACCACGGGAGCAATGGCACCTGGATTTCATCCACCAGTTTATGGCTAACATTCGCCACATCAAGAGTGAAAGCAATAACATCGCCTACGTCCTCTCGCTCATTTTCGTGCTCTCGGATGACGACTCTGACACCTCCAAACTGACTTCACGCTGCTTGTTGATGCTCAACACTGCGACAGCAACATACAACAGCTACGGACCGCAGATATGGGGCTCCAGCTTCGTGACATTCCTCTCTCCAATGGCAAGACGTTGCTCTGTGTTACATCAACCAACCGACTCCGTCCACTAGTTCCCCTGGATATGCGCCAAGTTGTTTCAGTTGCTGCACTCGTTCTCTCACCCTGGCATCGGTGCAACGCAGAGACTCGTCAAAGAGGGCTACGTCTGGCCCTTCATCAGCAGTGACGTGCGATGCTGGACCAAGGCGTGCATGGCCTGCCAAAGCTCTAAAATCTTAGGGCACACTAAGTCACCTGTTGGTACGTTTCTGCCACAATCAGCTCGCTTTGACCACGTCCACATCCACATTGTTGGACTACTACCTCCCTCAGAAGGCTTACGACACCTTCTAACAATTGTCGACTGCTCGTTCTCCGGTCAGCCCTTAAGACCGATTTAGGCTGTTCAGCGGCTGAGCTCGTCTACGGCACTGCCTTGTGCCTTCCCGGAGAGTTTCTATCCTCCACATCTACTCCATCATCTCAGCCTGGTTCGTACATGGATACACTCCGTGACTGTATCTGGTCCCTGCATCTTACACCACCAAGACGTAGCTCTCAGAAGCAGGTTTTCATCGTCAAGGCACTGGACGAGGCAACACATGTATTCGTACGACGAATGGCACCTGGACCACCACTGCATCGCCCCTACGACGGTCCCTTCAGGGTCCTCTGCCGGTCGTCTTAAGTTTTTTACGATCGACTGCCAAGGGGATCGGCACACAGTCTCCATCAACCGACCAAAATCGGCCCACATCGACGAGGACGCAAATATTCCTAGTCCCAGCATAAACAGGCCGACCAACGCTGCCTCCGCAAGCGACGCAGAACCTGTGACTATGTCACCACTACGCTCATGTTTGTGGACGAGGTCCGGCCGTGTGGCACGGCCTCCGCTTCGGATTTGACGCATCACTTTTCTTACAAGTGATCGAAGGGAGGTGGCTGATGTAGCGACTGAAGAATAATATAATACAGTGGTCCCTCGGTTAACGAAAACAATTCGTTCCACAGAGTCGTTTGTTAACCGAAAATTTCGTGAACAGAATCTATTATTTCAATGGAATATTGGGTAATTGGTTCCAACTCACAAAAAAATTACATTCAAAGTACTGTATACCAGTAATAGAATTAACAAAGCATTAAATATAAACTAAATACAGTATTGTACTGTACAGTATACTGTACAATAATAAATAAAAAACAATAGAATACTGTATTTTAACTTACTTTGAGGTGTGTATGTCGTACTACCGTTAGCTTTGTTTACATATCAAACAGCTGATTGTAGATGCAGTCGATGACGTGCCATATTCTTTACAGAGTGCATTGGTTCTAATGCCTTCTTCATGTTTCATAATAATTTCTGGACTGTATATTATCAATATGTTAACTAAATTTCAGAATGACCAATAATCTTAATGCAAAAATGCAAAAATATTCAAGAGACCAACAAACTGGATATTCACTCCCCTGTAAACAAAGTTAAACTGAGAAGAGTTGTTGGGTGATTCAATCAGCTGATGGGCGCACAAAAACTGTTCTCTGTACTGCATATATTATCAATATGTTAACTAAATTTCAGAATGACCAATAATTTTAATATAAAAATGCAGAAATATTCGAGAGACCAACTTTCTTGATATTTACTCCACTGGAAATGAATGTAAACATAGAACCAATTACTGTATTGGCGGACTAGCCGATTAGCTGATGAGCACAACAAAACGTGTTTGTCGTAAGGATTTCATTAATCGAAGTTTTGTTCGTTAATCAAACTGAAAATCCTTATGGGAGCTAATTCGTTAACCGAAATTTCGTTAATCAAACCGTTCGTTAATTGAGGGACCACTGTATAATGTAATTATGTAATGTAATGTAATATAGTTAACAATGCATATAATTGTTGTAACTAGCCATGCTGATCATGTAACTGTTGCTACTCTTGGACGGCCTCGGAACGGCCACTCACTCTTGCTCCGTGCTAGAGCAGTTCTCCTAGGAGCACCAATAAACTGGTAAACATAGCCCGAGCTTTCCTGGACCAAATACTACATTATTATAAATGACATAAAAACATGTCCTCCATCAGGTAAAATACAGTTTGCTTTTTGAATAGAAAAATAAGGACTTCAATTTCACATACAAATACACAGAACAATACCAAAACTAATGTGAGGGTTGAGCCTGGATGAGATTTGTAATTTCAGAAAAAGTTGGTTCAAAATATTACAGCAGCCTTCAGTGGTGTTGTGGGGTTTCGAGATGTAGTCTCACACTCAGGATGGGTTGGAGAAAGGAAACCCACAATGCGCTCTTTGTATATATATTGTATTGGATGTACAGGGCAGCTTGGTGCTGGGAAGTTGCTGCGTGGTTGGCAGCGTGGAGTAGAGAGCTGGTTGGTGAGGGGCTTGCCCAGAGGAGGTGTTGCGTGGCTGTAGGTAGAAGGCAGGTCACGGTGAGGTGAGGTCTTATATAGCGGAGGTAGGCGTGGCTTGATAGTTGACCTCCGCTTTGTCAGACGTTGCTAGTAGCCAACCTTAGACCACGAGGCGTTGGTTGGGAAACTCGAAAAGGGATCGGTTAGTCAGCGACAAACGACAAACGGCAGTTGTAGTTGTAGGGGAAATATCCACTACAGTGATATTTCCGTACACTCCGAACACTCAGAAATCGACACTGTCCACAACACTC